CCCGCCCCCACGTCACCCGCGCCCGCGGCCCGCCGCGCAGTCACTCGCCGACCGCCACCCCGCGCCCGCGCCGGCTAAACGCGGCTCCGCACGTTCGGCTTTCGCCGAGCAGCGCGTCTAACCCGAACAGCTGATGTATTCGGCGAAGGTTAGCTTCCTTTGACGTGTTCTAAAAGCGACTCCACACATTCGGCATTCGCCGAGCAGCGATCTACTGCTCGCCCAATCCCGAGTAGCTGATGTGTTCGGCGAAGATTCGCTCCCTTTGATGAGTTCTGAAGACCGACACGCGGTGGGTAGGGCGTATACCGAACGTTCGGCGCTCGGCGAATCGCAAGCAACCCGTCCACACCACTCGGGATTCGGAGAGCGGTTGCTCAGGATTCGCCGAATGCCGCCTGTGTGGAGACGCCTTAAGGCGGCATGTTCATGCCAGACGTTAGTCAAACCCTCTACCCTTTAGAACATCCACAGATAAACACTAGCTGCTTGTAAACGTGAATTGAGCATTTAAATAATTATTTGTAAATAGTTAAAAGAGAAGTATGGAATACTTGTTCAAGAGAAACCATGTTTACTAATTCAATTTAGTATCTCGTATGGTTTTGCATTTTCATAAGTTGGTAATACCTAATATGGATTAGGTTGTCTTCGGTGTCCGTATTTTTCTCTCTTTCTGCGCAGGATCTTAGTCCAGATTGTTTACATTAAGAGGGAATTATCATCAAATAGTTAGTGGTTGTGTGTGGTACAAAATTTGAAGTTAGATTTATCTCGTAACTCAAGAGAAGTGGTAACAATAGCATGATTTGTGCAGCATAACTCTTAGGCCGAGAGCCAGTACTTCCAGTTGCGATGAATTTCACAGCAGTTTGTTATCAATTACTCCTCAGAAAGCCCAGTGAAGTATATTACATTTAATACCATATGATTCCTAAAAAAATTACTACGTTTTGAATAAAAGAAAAAAGTAGTTTCACCGTGTAACTTCTTCAATAACTTTAAAAAACCTATGTCTGCAGTAGCATTTCCATAAGAGTCTATACTAATTTTAGCTTCTTTTATTCAAAAATTCGGCCAGAAGGGCCAAATTGTTACTTACTATCTTGAAGAGCAGAGATTTTTCTTTCATTTAAAGTACTTTTTGAGGGTACTTCGATCTACCGAACATACTGCGTAAAGTGGCCCACCACTAGTGGCACACAGGGGCCACTCTCGGTAGACCAAGTTCAGTTCTTCCAAGTAAAATATTCATTGTCTATTTAAGGGTTACATCTCAATATTAACAATATTCACTCTTTTATAAATGTTCTGTCCGCATAAAAAGTTGTTATACAACCCCAGTTTTTCAAAAACGTGTTTGTTAAGTAGTAGTTTACACTAAGAAAGGGGCTAGCGCCCGGATACCGGTCATTCTACTACGGCTAGGCCGACGGTTTTGTCCATGTACACTTGAGTTACACAATAAACAATAATATACTGTCGGTAGATTGGAGATTGGCGTTTGGTTCGTCTCCAATAATTCAATGGTGCATTGAAGCGTCTGTGTGTAAAGCATGACACCTGGCTTAACGAAGAAAATCGACATTGTTGACCTTTTTTGACCATTATCGACTTTTTTTAAAGAGAGAATCGTTCTGTCTGTATTCCAAAAACGAGCAACAAATCTGCATGATTAGTCGCTCGTACGTTCTGGGTTGTGCCTCTCGTAACGTGGAAAAATTGCAGTTTCGCGTTGAATTAACCAGCGAAACGTGAAATGTGAATTTTGCATTATTCACACTCTAATGCATCTATTAAGTAAGCTAGTCGTTATAAATAGAGTAAAAAACTTCCATAGGAAACGTTCAGCGGTGAGGCGTAAGAAAAAGGTGTTTTCGTATTGTGATTGTGACATTTTGAGCAAAGGCAAAGTGCCATATA